TACTTTCTGTTCAGGTTAATCCCGAATGTCACGTGAAAAACAACCCGCAAAAGCAGATTGTTTTCACTTTAAGTCTAGTTTCTGCACGGGATTCGTCCCGTGTGATAAACTCCATACTCTCAGTCCCAGAGGAAGGCAATTGCAAACCCATTCAGAGCAAATTTTCCTGCGACCGGAGCCTACAGGATGGGAAGAGGATCCTCCTACCAATGCCAATAATCTTCTTGCATGTTTCCTGCATTTTAGCCTACTCATCGGCCTGCGACAAAGGAGAAATCCGGGATTCACTCCTTCGACTGGCCCTTCTTTAGCCTCTTCAATCCGTATTATTCCAGGTTTCCCAGGACAAATGGCAACCGTATATACTCTCAGTCCCAGAGGAAGGCCATGGCAAGCCCGCTCTGAGCAAATTTTCCTGCTCATCACCTCCTGGAGCTTGGCTACTCTTAAGGATGATTCTTGGACAACAGGATCTATTCTACGACATCAAAAAGAACGGCCTCTCAGAGCCCAACCTCATTATTTAAAGTATTACCAGATTTTTACCCCCCAAAAAATTCCAGAAAAAAACAGCAATGTCAAAGCAGGCAGGGCTGCGGAGTAGTGGTGATTTGGAGGTTACTCCTTATCCTACTCCGGAGTGAGATATTTTTCTTAATCTTACTCTTACTCCTGTAAAAATCTCCGACTCCTTTATTCCTACTCCTACTCCCCAACTCTGAATAATACAGGGCCGGAGTAAGATTTTTTTTAAAAAAAATTAATGTTACTCCTACTCCTACTCCTGTAAAAACCTTTTACTCCTTTATTCCTACTCCTACTCCTCATTCCTGAATAATACAGGGCTGGAGAGTAATGGTGATTTGGGGGTTACTCCTTATCCTACTCCGGAGTAAGATATTTTTCTTAATGTTACTTTTACTCCTGCAAAAACCTTTTACTCCTTTACTCCTACTCCTTGAAACATACGACACACTCCTCATTATTTCTAAACCCTTCTGCTGGGGCAAAAATAGTAGGTTTTTAAAATATATATTTCAAAAATAGCCAAAGGGATTTACTACATTTAAAAAAAAATACTATACTGAAGACAGAAGGCGGCCAGCTGCTAAAATGGGAAGAAGAGTTCATAAAAAGAAATAATGTTGAAGACAATGTTCTGGCATTTTAAAATTATTAGAGAGAGAAAAGGGGCTTTTCCAGCACTGAAACCCTATCCACCTTCATTTTTTGTAGAGATATTATATAATATGATGCCCATTGTGGTGTAGTGTTTTGCATGCTGGACTGTGAGCCTAGAGAGCAGGGTTCGAATCCCATCTCAGCCATCAAAACTTTTAAAATTGTTATTATTGTAAGTAAACAACTATGGAGAAAAACATGACACAACAATAAAGCAAAACAAAGCAATTAATCTCACAACTTTGAATTGTGTTGTGGGTCTCCTTCTTGGGTTTTGCTTAATGTAAGCGGTCATTTTATAAAGTCCAGCGCTGTCTTTGCGTAAATCTAGTCTAGAAGGTCCGACAAAAGTTTCAGATGGGATTGAGGTTGCTGTCTCTTGTTTCTATCTTTCTTTACAAAGTCAATGAGCGGGAACCATTTGTCCACGAAAAGTCCTGATTTTGGTCATCCTGCGTAGCAAGTCACTCTCTCTCAGCCTCAGAGGATGGCAATGCCAAACCCTCTCTGAAGAAACGTGCCAAGAAAATCCAGTGATAGCTTCACTATAGGGTTGCTATAAGTCAAAAATGACCTGGAGGCACACAACAACAACAAACAAACAACAACAACAACAACAACAAGGAGTAACAAAGCGGAGTGGTGGAACTATTCCTCTGGTGTCCAGACAATTCAAATTATTTGGCTTCCCTTTTCATAATTCCCTTTTCACTTCCATTTCTTTGAAGATGCCAGCCAGGAATACATTCTTCTAGAACATGGCCTCACAGCCCCCAAACCCCACAAAAACCTATTTTCACCCGCACTCGATCACCCCTGCCTGTCTTCTTCCCAGGTCTGCATCCGCACTGCAGAAATAATCCAGTTTGACACCACTTTCATTGCCATGGGTCAATGCTACAGAATTTTCTAGTTTGTACCTTTCATGAGATATTGAGCTCTGCTGCCACAAGAAACTACAGTCCCCAGATTTCCATAGCGTTCGGCCACAGTTGTTAAAGTGGTGTCAAACTGGATTATTTCTGCAGTCCGGATGCTGCCCAGAAGAGACATTTCAATGAAACACATAACCTGGCAGAGAGAAAAAAAGACAACAGATAAAACAAGCCCCCCTGTACGAACCTTTGCCTCTTCAAGCTGCTCTGAAAATACTGCGTTTCTCCCCACTGAAGCTGTCCGGGAGACGCAGTGCTCCTATTTCCCAAATGACACTGAAGCTGTCTGGGAGACGCAGCGCTCCTATTCCCCAAGCCCTTTGCAAGAGACCAATTTTGCTCTTGTGCAAAAAGGCCTGTTTAATGTTGCATACTATCCAGAGTGACATAGGACGCATTCCACACTGCAGAAATAATCCAGTTTGACACCGCTTTACAACTCAATGCTAAGGAATTCCAGGCACTGAAGTTTGGTGAAACATCTAGCTTCCTCTGTCTGGATGCTCTGGTGCCACGACAAACAACAGTTCCCAGAATTCCATAGCACGGAGCCATGGCAGTTAAAGTGGTACCAAACTGAATTATTTCTGCAGTGTGGACGCAAAACCATAGATGAACACCAAGAGACACATGTCTCTTAAGCCCATCTGAGTGTGAAGACGCAAGAGGAAGGCAAAAGTTATCAGTGAGGAAGAACAGGCAGACTTACTATTTTAATTTATTTTAAGGATTTATATCCTGCCACAATGGGAGAACGCTGGTATTTAGGTACAGTGGGTCCTTGGTATCCACTGAGGTTTGGTTTCAGGATCCCCTGTGGATACCAAAATCCATGGATGCTCAAGTCCCATTAAATACAATGGCATAATAAAAAAGTGTCCCTTATATGAAATGGAAAAATCAAGGTTTGCTTGTTGGAATTTATAATTTTTGGAATATTTTCAAGCCGCGGATGCTTGAAACCATGGATAAGGAGGGCCAACTGACTTTAGAAGGCCTGAAAAATGAATGGGGAGAAACCCAATAAATAAATAAATAAATAAATAAATAAATAAAATACTCAGCGTGTGAAGTTATAGCGGATTGCTTTTACCCAAGTCTACAGGGAAGGGAAAGATTCTGTCCCTTTCCTTCCTGTTGAGCTAACTGAGCATAAGCTCCTTTTGCAATCTGAACTCTGTTTGCAGCAAAGTTAGTAAGAAAAAAGGACAAAAGGGGGAATGTGGGAGGAGGAGAGAGAAACTGGGACATTTTAAAAAGCAAATGGGAAAGTGGGATGACAGAGGATCAATTGTCAAAAGTGGAAAGGGTTGGTAGGTAGCACAGAGACAAAAGCAAAAATATTGCATGGCATTTCTTCAGTTAATTTAGGGATTCCTAGGCTGCATCTACACTGCAGAAATAATGCAATTCAACACTGCTTTAACTGTTGTGGCTCCATCCTATGGAGTCCTGGGATTTGGCATTTGTTGGAGGCACTAGAGCTCTCTGACAGAGAAGGCTAAATATCTCACAAAACTACATTTCCCAGAATTCCATTGCATTGACCCATGGCATTTAAAGCAGTGTCAAAGTGCACTGATTCTGTACTGCAGATGGCGCCTTAGACTTTGCTAATTTCCAGGAAAGTAGCCATGTTGCATTGTGTTTTCATGTTATTGTTGTTGGAGTCATTTCATGCCATTTCGGACTAAAGGTGACCTGAAAGTGAATGTATGACAAGTTTTCTTGGCAAGATTTGTTCAGGAGGTGGGTGGGAGGGCTGCTTTTGCCTTCCTCTGAGGCTGAGAGAGTATGACTTGCCCAGGGTCGCCCAGTGGGTTTCCACAATTCGAACCCTGGTCTCCTGGAATCCCAACACGCAAACCACTACAGCGCCGCTAGCTCAGACATTTTATGATGGCGCGATCTTTGCTGCACTTTCCTGCAATCTTGCAAATGTTGTTGATGCTTTTCTGTCCTGGAAATGAAATGGAAGCTTGAAGAGATGCATCAGAGCATATTTCGGGGCAAACTTTTTAGCACTCATTTATTGGGGGATGAAAGCGCTGAGTGGCGAAGCTTTATATGTGAGAACCGAAGCTGGGTTTAAGCCGAAAATAGCTGCCAGGGAATGCAGTGGGAGGGTCGGTCCTCATCCTCAGCAGGCACCAGGCATTAACACTTTCCAAAAATCCCTTTTTGCATTTCATCTGTGGATCCTTCTCCACTTCCCACAACCTTTGGCTGGCACATGGCACACCTTTGCAGCCATGTGCATTAAAAAATTATACAGATCTCTCCCCGGGAATTTAAAATCTATGTTAGTGAACTCCCAAAAAACTCTGATTTAATATTGTGAGCTGCTCTGGATCTCAGTTCTGACAGAAGAGTGGGATACAAATAATAATAATAATAATAATAATAATAATAATAATAATAATAATAATGATGATGATGATAATAGCAACAACAACAACAACTATATTTTATGCAATCTGTTTTAATACTGTAATCATTTAATTCTGTTTTAATGTAACATTTTTCTATGTTTTTAATTGTACTGTTTTTAATCTTGTAAGCCGCCCTGAGTCCCAGTTTTGGGAAAAGGGTGTAATAATA